ATCTTATGGTAGTTACTGGACATATAAAAATTAAAGTGCCTCTTCTTCCTTTGAGGAGCTTATAGACTATCAGAAAGATAAACATATATACTGTCATGCACCCCATAATGTTTCAGTCAACAATGGACTGAGTATATGATGGTGGTCCCATAAGATTGTAATACTGTATTTTTACTCTACCTACTCTATGTTTCTATACACAAATACTTAAAATTTTATCACAATTGTCTATAGTATTCAGTACAGTAATATTCTATACAAGTTTGTAGCCTAGGAGTAATAGGCTATATACCATGTAGCCAAGGTGTGTGGTAGCCTGTATCATTTAGAGTTGTGTAAGTACACACTATGATGTTCATCCAATGAAAAGATGCCCCAACAACCCATTTCTCAGAATGTATTGCTGTTGTTAAATGATGCATGACTGTAAATAAAATTTAAAAATTGCTTTATACATTATAATTATTGTGATAGAGTACATATATATCATAATGAGAGTTAACATAGGAAGTGGTTGATGACTTTGACTTTTGGATCAGACCACAGGATTTTGATTTTAAACTTCACTATGCACTAATTGTGATACCCTTAGCAAATTACTTTACTTTTTGTGACTCAGTTTCTTCATTTGTGAATATGAAAAATAATACTACTTGCTCACAGGGTGGATACAAATTTTTAATGACTTGCACACAGATAAATAAACATGCTTGCAGGTAAGTGAGTCAAACATTGTTTGAATGTTGAAGGAGGGGTGCTCTTGTCATATAGTGACAGTAAATTTATTGACACTATCATCTGCTGTTACTTGGAAAGTAGAAAATGCACACAATAAACTGGATGGTCTAGCTAAGGAGATTTGTAACAAGGGTATTGAAAGTGTCACCTGTTTTTTCTTGCTGCTTTTAGTAAAATGCAAGAAATGACAGATAAGCTAAAGAAAAGACTATCATTTATTTTGAGTTTTAATGTCTTGAAGATTCCCAGTGACTAGGACAGGATTTAGCACATAGTTGGAAGAGACTTGAATAAAAGTAACAGTTAAGTAACTAATTAAATCAAAGAAAATTTAACCAAAATAGGACAGTAAAACTACTCTGTATGGAATTATAATGGTAGATACAGGTCACTATACATTTGTCCAAAATCATAGAATATAAAAAGACAAGACTGAACCCTAATGTAAACTGTATATTTTGGGTGATAATGATGTATCAAAGTAGGTTCTCTGATTGTAACAAATATACCTCTCTGGCTCAAGATGTTGACAGTGGGGTAAGCTGGGCATGTGTAGGGACAGGGGAATGTGCCAACTCTATAATTACTGCTTAGTTTTGCTGAGAATCTGAAAGTGCTCTGAAAATAATGTCTATTATATAAACAAAAACTGATTTGGAAAAAATTACCCCAAATAGTCACAATGAAGTCAGTACCTATTTAGGATTCAGTTTTGACTATTATCCCTGTGGTCTTTGTTCCTACACAATTTAGGTGACCCTTGGCAGAGTCTACCATGGGAAAGTTTAATAAATAGAGGGATATGAGTAAGGGGGTGGAGATGGTGACATAAATGGAGCTATATCTTATGAATCCCACACAGAATTTTCATGTTCATTCCAGATCCCATGATCTAGGTCGAATCTTTAGATTTGGGCACCAGGTGTGCATGCCTCAGTTCCTGGGCCCCTTTTTATTAATTTACAGTAGCATAATACCATTTCAGTAGCTCCCATGGGCTGGATTCATATGGTACCTTCGTGCTTCAAAAAAAGATTTGTTGGGGTCAGGGATATTCCTGTGACTACTTTTTTTGTCAAATAATATCTTTGGAGAGAAATTAGATTGGCCTTATTTTGATCACCATTATCTTCTTTTTCTGTACCATGAATTTCTACCCATGACTGTGCTGATTTCTCCCAACCAAGACATGGGAAAGCAATGAATCTGCTTGAACCAAATGGTAATGTGAATACTTTGAGAAGTGACAGGGAATGGAGATGCCATATGTATTGAAAAAGAGAGGCAAATGTTTTATTTTACTCTAGGAATGTAGCAAGTTAGGTGATTATAATATTTTTAGCTATGCTTTATATGGCCTAAAGTCCCTGGGATGTCAAAGTACAGCTTATATATCTGCCCCAGATGGATGTGAACTGCACACAGTCATTAGGAAAGAGTCCGAGAAAGAAGTGAACTTAGTATAATAAGAGCTGCCATAACTCCACTGAACCCTACCATGATCTCTATGAAACCCTATTGGTAGCCTTCAGCCTAGGCAATTGTAGCTAAACTACAAGCTGTTCCGAATTCCCTCTAAGGTGATTCCCTGGTTGTAAAAGAAAGAGTCCTCTGGCTTCATTTCTACCTGATACCCTGTTAATTTTGAGAATGATGACATCACTTGCATTTGTGGGTAAAGAGACAGTTTTGGAAATAGGAAATCCCATCACTTATTGGCATATGCATTTCCTATTTCATGCTTATTCCCAATATTTGAGCTTATAATAGAGAATCATTATAGAAGAGCATTTTTTTCTCCTTTATAAAACAAATGCTTTTAATTCTCTGAAGAATATAAATAAGAAGGGGAATAATCTACTGTGTGTACATTTGTGCTTGTCAAGGTAACAAAGTCTAGATACAATTGAAAATTAGCCATACAAAAATTCTAGTCTCTTATTGCTATCTAGCATGGTGTTGGCCAGGAGTGTCATAAAAAGCTAGAGACATTGTATAGCCATGGTGATAATCTATTCTGTGGACCATCTACTTGTATGACCTCAGTTATAAGGTCATGAAATGTCCTAGAGTTAGTGGAGAAAAACTTATGTCTGAAATTTAAGAGCACTTTTTATTCCCTCTGGTAGTTTTTCTGAAATTCTGTGAGTAGAACTTACCTAGCTTGATTCTTCATTACTTGGAAACACTGAATAGTTTTTCTTGGAAGTGACCAGATGGAAAAAATTAAAAATGTTTCAGAAGAACTATTAATGCTGGGTGCATTTTTTTCTAGAAGTCATTTATTTTTATTTAGACTTAGATCAACAACCTTTATGAGATTAAAATGAGCTTATCCAACATGAGGGAAATTGTCTTGATTAGAATTTCAAGCCATAGCTGTCTGCGTTGGTGGGCTTGACTCTGTTTTTAATGATTGTCTTTACTTTTCTTGCACTTTAAGAAGATAACAAAATGAAAACTTTTCACTACAATTTTGCTTCAAATGATGTGTTACTGCCTTAAATATATGAACCTGTAAAAGCAGTGACACTGTCTCCATTCTTATTACCCTTGCGGACGTTCCTTTGTAAAGAGTAAGTACCAAATGTGTCATGGGGACCTCCAAGAGAAAGACTAGCTTCGATTACTGGATTTCTATAGGAAAAAAAACAATGATTAAACTGAAAGAAATTCCCTTTAAAAAATATTTTATAATCATATACTGTAATCTTATGAACAATTAGGTAAAATTTAGGTGTAGAAATTGTCAAAATTTCCACAAATGGGAAAACATATTGTACTATTTCAATCATGCAGACCTAAATGCTGGAATTTGGGTGAAGAAAGAGTAGGCTTCTATTGTGCAAGGAGACAGACAAATAATTGGATGTTCTGTGAATGTAGGTAAGTGCCTCTACCAGAAATGTATCTGGCAGGTAGTGCTTCCCTCTGATAGTTTTACAAAGCAGGGATTGTGTTGTAGTAAGAAAAGAAAAGAATTTGGAATAAAGCAGACCTGGGTACAGGTTATTTACAGCTTCAACGTTGACAGATTTCTGCGTCTCTCCAAACAACCATTTTCTCATTTCTGAAGCAGGGATGAAGGTTAAAGTGATATCAGGAAGTCAGATATCTATCAGGGCTCACCAAGGTTAGTTGTCTTCCACTTGGTATTGGTGTTTGCATGAGTTGGGTTTATAGTCAGTTTATTCGTGTCATTCACCGGAAGGTCACAGTTTTCTTCATGCACAAACAAGCTTAATAATTATACAGAAAATTTTATCCTCTAGGAAGAATACGAAGGACTTAGAAAGGTAAATTTTAATCTGTTTGAAAGAAGCTATGAAATAGTGGAAAGAGGAATCGTCATGCAATCCTAACCCAAGCTAACCTGTTAGATCCTTAGCTTCCTCCTTTATGTGATGGATGTGATAGAGCAAATAAATGCCTACTTGGCAGGGGGGATACGACAATTTAGTGGGATAACTCTTTGATGGACGTGTTCAGCATCCCCCAATATTTAGTGTCAAATGTTGCTGGTTTTCAATATTTTTTTTCATGCTAATTTATAGGGACTGAATTGTCCAGTTTTTTAAATAAATAATCCCAATTTTAATTTTGGAAAAGCAAATCAAATTGGATGAGTTGCTGGAAACATTCTTTATGGAGTTTCACTGTTGAGAGAGCCTGGATGTGGTGAGGTTAACATTGACCTTAAAGGTTGGAAACAAGTTCTTCTGGTCTAGTCTTCCACATGGATAATAATACCTGGAAGGACTAAAGTTACAAAAGATACAAATTATCTGTTCCAAGGTTTCAAGAACATCTGGTAGTTTTTAGCTTTTCTTCCCTCACATTTCTCCTCCAGTATATTTTCTTTCCAGGCAGAAACACCTTGGAATATAGACTGATGACAGTATGAAAGTTGTTTGGAACTGTAAATACTGATTTTCCCTGCTGCTCTTTTTCTCTACATATATGTGACAATGCTGAGAGGAAACAATTAAAAAATAATGTCTATTTTATTGCAACAAGGTTTACAGCTTTTCAACACAGCAACTCATGCAAAACTTTGAGAGACATTCAAAAGACTCATAAAATGCCCTTAAATATTAGTTTGAAAGTGAATTCATTTGTAGCCTTTCAGTTTTGCCAAAAAAAGGGAAATTTCCTGAAATATTTGTTGATTTTTCTCAGATAAGAGGTATAGTGTCCCAGTTGCTGAGGTCCTCTGGAAATTATTGAGACAACTTGCAACTTTCTCATTCTCCCCCATCCAGGAAATGAAATAAACAAGCATATCTTTTACCATGCGGCATTAGGAACACTGAAGTGTATTGACTGATCTGCTGGAGAAGTGAAGTGGTAAGAATGTGCTTTTTTTCAACTGCACTATCTGATATTTTCCTAAAGATATGCTCAGCCACAGATCTAAGACTTCCTAAAAGTCCATTTGTATATCTGCCCAGTTTATAATTCTAAATCAATTTCTTCTTAACATTGGCTCTGTTGACATTCTGAGTAAGATAATTCTTTATTTGGGGTGGGGGGTGTCCTGTGCATTTCAGGATTCTTAGTAGTATATTTAGCCTCTACCTACTGGATACCTGTAGCCACCCCCCCCCCAACTCCTGCCTCAATTATGTCAATCAAAAATATCTCTAGACATTGCCAAATAGGCTCCAGGGAGCAAATTGCCTTTGGTTGAGAACCATTGCTATAAATCTTGCAAAATAATAATACTTTAATACTTCTAGGGCTTAAGATATTAGTAGAATATATTTCATATATATGTAAGTATAGATGATAGATAAGGAGATAGATCTCTATACTCCTATATGTAGCTTTTCTTTTGTCCTTCATATGCAATTATCTAAGCTCTTTGGTCTCCTAAAAGAAACCGAAGATTGGCTTGAAAATAATTTTCTCCTCTATTTTGTAATTCTTACAACATATGCTGTGTGTCTGTTATATTTTGAAAACTGATTTTAATGTATTGGCTGCCTGCTCATTATTGATAGAAACCATTTCTTGCCTTTTCCACATCCTCCAGGGGATCTCTCTCAGATCTTAATTCAGGAAGAGTATGTTGCTCAGCCAGCTTCATGTGTGTTCATGTCACTATTTTTAAATTTATTTGCTGGTAGAACATTCTTATGTACAGCTGTCTCCAAAAGCTAGCCAATAAGTGTCTCATCAGGACAGGTTTTCCATCTTCCTCTCCCAACACCTTTTTTTTCTTCCTTCCATGCTATAGGTATATTGATCATGATAAGAATGCTTACTCAGAGAAAGAGTCAGGAAAGCAATATATTGAAAACAAAACCATGAATTTGATAAGAAAAGTACTTAAGGTAAGTATGAAGATGAGGTTGCAATTTTATGATGTGCTAGAAAAAAGTCATTCTTGAAAAATCTGGCTCTGGAGGCCAACTATTATTCATTTTGGGGGAGTGTGCCATGCAAAAGATCTCCTGATTTCAGGAAATCTCACAGTGACCTATGTTGCTCTGGGTCTTTACTCAGGAACAGGGACCAACTTTCAATCTAAGAAAGAATGTTGACTGAAGGCAGCAGCTTTCTGGGCCAAATTACATTCTTTGTAACCTCCCAAGTGTTATACTTAATTTACATTTGAAATACAAACTATGTGCTCCTAGCATTCAGCCCACAGATTATTTCGGTCTTCTGAATTTAGAAGAATTTGCTTGCTGAAGCAGATATTTCCGAATTTTATTTCTTTACTGATATTTCCACAAATTGAAATCATTTTAAAGTGCACAATTCAACAGTTTGCTGACCTAAAAACAATCGTCTAATAAAGTCACCATACCTTTCCTCAGCATTTTTGATCATATATTTTCAAGAAGGTATTGAAATTTTTACCTAAGATCTTGGTAAGATTACCATATCTTCTTATGGAGATAATCTCTTAAAAGTTTGAGTCTCTTAATCAGAGTAAGAAAAATAAGCTACTTCTTAACTCCAACCTCAATGGAATTCTTTACAAGCCCCTGAATATTTGGTAACTCTGAATGATGCAAATATAAATCGCCTATGAATTCCTACTTTGTCCAAAAATTGAAGCCCCATCACCTACCCTGGAATTAATTTCATCTATTAATAACTATCTCGGCTGCAAAGGGAAGCCATGTACAAGAAGAGTACTAGCAAAACTAATTATGTTCAGGTGCGTGGATGATTAAGCATAGAATTCACAACCGAGGATACTGTGTGCATGCAAGGAATATAATTCCTTTCTGAAAATAATGTGGTACATGTATATATTTCCCTTCCTCTTTTACAAGCACTATTTAGTTGTATACAAGGAGATGAAATCCATTGGCCTTTGTGCTTTCTGGATGATAAATTAGGAAGGAAGAATACAAAGACGAATTTGTCCTATTTGTCCACATTCTGATCTGGGAAACTAGAGGAGGTTAAGATGATTAGTATTACTATCTTTTTTTCTCCTTAACCCTATAGCATAGACATCTAAAGTCCTTAAATTTTTTTCTCCATAATCAACCAATTATGAGGTGATTTTGGCTAATCCTTTTGAGAATATTAAAATAGGCCAGAACTTCTTGCCCATGGCTCATCTCTTGGGTCTTCATAAAACCACCAAGCACATTAGAAACTCTGTATTAAATAGGTCACATGCAATCTGCCTGCATTGACTGAATGAAAACCCATTCATTCAGCATTTAACAAATTTTTGTAAAAATCATTTACTATGCACCAGGAACTGTTCCCAAAACCCAGACTACAACAGTGAACCGAAGAAACAGCTCTTGCCCCATGGAGCTTATATTTTAGTATAGATTAAGGGGAGAGAGAGAAAACAAGAGAAAACCCATGGGTAGAAAAGGATAATTTAGATAGCTGAAAGTTCTATAGAGAAAATTAACCCAGATAATGGGATAGGCAGTAGTGACCAGGATGTACAGGAGACTTTGGATTGGGCTATCAGTATGTGACTCTCTTGGGAGGTTATATTTGAGCTGAGAGATGACGGATAAGAATCATCCAAACATGTAGACTCAGGGAAAGACCATTTTAGACAAGGGGCATTGTAATCATAAGAGTCCTAAGATAGGAATGCGTTTGGTTACCTAGATGTAGAGAAGGAAATCTACATGTCTGGACTAGCGAATAAGATTAGGTACTGTGAGTGACTGAACCGTGTCACTTTCACATTCATATGTTGAAGCCCTCATCCCCAGCATGACTGTAATGGAAGAATGGCCTTTAAGGAAGAAGGTAATTAAGGTTAAATGAGGTCATAGACTGGGGTGCTAACCCAATAAGATGGGTGTTCTCAGAAGAAGAAGGAGACACCAGATCTCTCTCCCCCCCCCCGCCCCCCACAGAATAGGCCATGTGAGGACACAGTAAGAAGGTGGAAGGAAAATCTCGCCAGAACCAGCCCTGCTGGCACCTTGATCTTGGACTCTAGCCTTTCTCAGAACTGTTGAGAGAATAAATTTCTGTTGTTGAAGCCACTCAGCCTGTGGTAATGTGCTATACAACCCTAGCAGACTCACATGGACTTAACCTAGTGACTGGTTAGAATGGGGTCTGTTAGGAATTTACTACTCTACAGTTAGGAAGGCTTGATTTATTCTAAGTGCAATGGAATAGAGTTGCAGATAGAAATTTGGGATTTATTGACTGTTGAAGGTACTTTTAAGGAGACTAAAATTAAATTTCCCAAGGACAAAATACAGATAGAAAAGAGTCAAGGTTCTATGACCAAGAACCAAGTCACTCCAATATTTAGAGTTCTCCCAAGCATTTAACCACTTCGGTACCAGCATCAACTGTAGTCGATAGCCACAGATGAACGTGCACAGCGACTTTAGCTGACAGCCATGATATGACTTTTCCAATTTTTCATTTATTAAAATAAAATTGTGAACATTTAAAAATAACGTAATGAAAACATATATGTATATGTTACCTATTCTGATTTACATTACAAGTAAAGCTGCCTGTAAAGTAAAACAAGCTTTCAGTACTTTAAAGCTTTCCTCATCACACAAGAGCAAAACAGATTTGTCATTGATGCACAGCACAAACTATCATGTGGACTATGAGTGCCATTTGTGAGCAAGGTTTTGCGGACAGTGAGCACTGTACAGAAGTGGTTAAAGAAGAATTAACATCGGTTCTACACAGCATCTTCCAAAAAATGGAAATGGAAAAACACTTTCCAACCCATTATATGAGGCCCAAATTACCTTGATATTACAATTAAAGATGGTACAAGAGAAAAAAAAAACCTATAAATCAATATCTCTAAAGATCAATGAACTTAGATGTAAAATTTCTAAACAAAATGCTAGCAACTTAAATCCAGCAGTATGTAAAAAAGAGTTATGCACTATGACCAAGTAGGGTTTATTCCAGATAGGCAATGTTAATTAAATATTTAAAATTCAATTAATGTAATCTACCATATTAACAGGTTAATCATGTGATCATATCAGTTAATGGAAAGCAAACATATGACAAAATTCAACACCTATTTGAGATAAAAAAAAAACAACAACAACTCTCCAATAAGAAGAAACAGAGAGGAATATCCTAAAAAGGATAAAAAGAATCTTCAAAAAAACTCAACAGTTACCTGCATATTTAATGGAGAAAATCTGAATGAGTTTCTCCTAAGATCAGGAACAAGGTAAGGATATTTGCTCTCCTTGCTCTTATTCAATATAGTGCTGGAAGTTGTAGCCAGAGCAATAAGGAACAAAATGCAAATAAAGGCACAGAAATTTGTCTTAGTCTATTTTGTATTACTATAATAGAATACCACAAACTGGGTCATTTCTAAAGAAAATAAATATATTTCCTTTAGGTCTGGAGGCTGGAAAGTCCAAAGTCAAGGGGCCTGCATCTGTTGAGGGCTTTCTTTCTGTGTCATCCCATGGCAGAAGGCAGAAGGGTGAGAGGGCATGTGAGAGAGAAAGAGAGAGAGAGGGAGAAGAAGGTGGCCGAAGTCATCCTTTTTACTAGGATCCCAATCCTGCAATAAGGACATTAATCCAAACAGGAGGGTAGGGCACTTATGATCTAATTACCTCTTACAGGTTTCACCTCTCAACTCTGTTGTACTGGGGATTAAGTTTCCAACACATGATCTTTGGGGACACATTCAAATCATTCTGCCCTTGGCCCTCAAAATTCATGCACTTCTCACATACAGCATACATTAGGTCCATTACAATAGCCCTAAAAGTCTTACTTTCTTTAACATCAACTCAAGAGTCCAAAGTTTCATCTAAATCAAATATGGGTGAGACTCAAGGCACAGTTCATCCTGAAGCAAACTCCCCTTTAGCTGTGAGCCTGTAAAATCAAAATAAATTAAGTGCTTATAAAATATAGTGGTGGTACAGGCATAGAACAGACATTCTCATTCCATAGGGGAAAAATAAGCAAGAAGAAAGAAGTAACAGCTTCCAAGTAAGTCCAAAACTCAACAGAAAAAAACAACATTAAGTCTTAAAGTTGGAGAATCATCTTTGACTCCATGCCCTGCACCCTGGTCATGTTGAGGCAGGAATTGAGCCTTCAAAGGTTCAAGAAGCTCAACCTCTATGGCTTTGCTGGGTTCAGTCTACCCAGCAGCTCTGATGGATTGGAGTCTCATGCCAGCAGCTCTCCCAGGCCAGGAGTTGAAGGCTGGTAGTTCTCCAGTTCTGGGATCCCTGTGGCAGTCTTAATGCCACAGTTTCCCTGGGTATTGCGCTAGCAGGGGCTCTCTGCAGTGGCTCTCCCCCTGCAATGAGTTTCTGCCTGGGCCCTCAGGCTGTCAAATACATCCTTTGAAATCTAGGTGAACACTGCCATCGCCCCACAGCCCACGCACTCTGCACATCTGCACATCATGTTGACACTGCCAAGGCTGTCCACTTGTGCCCTCTGTAGCTTCAGCACAAGCTATACCTGGGCCTACTTAAGTTGTGTCTGGGGTGGCTATGGAGGGCTGCACTAGAATGCTGGGCGCAGACACCTGATGAAGTGCAGGGCAGTGAATGCTGAGATTAAGGTCCCAGCCTGCCTCTCGAAGATTTCTGAAATGCCTTTTGGGGTCATTCTCCCATGGTCTTGATGAACAGAACCTGACTCCCTTCTATCCGTACTAATCTCTTTTGCAAGCAGTCGCTGGACCACACCATTGGCTTGTTCTCCTAAAGATGCCCTTTTACTCTTTGCATTGATTTACAGAATTGAGCAGACTGGGTGATTTATCAAGGAAACAACTTTATTTCTTTCAGCTCTGGAGGCCGGGAAGTCCAAGGTCGAGGGGCCCACATTTGGTGAGGGCCTTCTTGGTGTGTCATCCCATGGTGGAAGGCAGAAAGGTGAGAGAGCATGAGAGTGAAAGAGAGAAGAAGAAGGCTGACTGAATTCATATTTTTTATCAGGAATCCATACCTGCAGTAACTAACTCTCTTATGCTATAACAGGATGAATCCATTCATGAGAGCAAAAGCTGTCATAACTCAATAATCTCTTACCGGTCTCACCTCTCAACACTGTTGATTAGGAATTAAGTTTCCAACACATTAATTTTGGGGGATGCATTCAAACCATAGTAAGATTGGATAGGAAGAAATAAAACAATTCCAACTAACACAATTGTATACACAGAAAATGCCAAGAGATCTTAAAAATACCCCCAAAACCTCTTAGAACTAATAGATGAGTTTAAAGCAAGGTCATAGGATATAATACAAAACCAACACACAAAAACCAATCATGTTTTTATATCCTAGCAATGAATATGTGGAAACCAAAATTAAAAGTATAAGGCTATTAACAATCGTTCCAAAAAAAGAAAGAAAGAATTAGCTATGAACTAACTATATCTACTCGACCTGTATGTTGAAAAATTACAAAACATTGATGAAAAAAGTCAAAGAATATTTAAATAAATGGAGAGATTATCATGTCATGGATGAGAAGATTCAACATAATTAAAATGTCAAATCTCTGATATTTCATAAACAGGTTTACTACAATTCATATCAAAATTACAGAAAAAATATTTTTGCATTTATAGAAAAGCTTATTCTAAAATTTAGACAGCAAGACACAGGCCCTCGACTAGCTAAAATAATTATGAAAGAGAATAATGTGAGATGGATCATTCTACCCAATGTTAAGATTTACTACATAGCTATATTAATCAAGGAGTGTTGTATTGGTGGAAGGCTAGATACATAGATCAATGAAACAGAAAAGAGAACTCAGAACTATGCAACACAAATATGCCCAAGTGATTTTTGAAAAAGTTGCAAAAGCAGTTCTTTTCAACAAATGGTGTTAAAGCCATTTGAACACATCCAAAGGCAAAAATTGAATCTCAATCTAAATTTAATATTTTATTCAAAAATTAATTCAAAGCGTATCATGGATTTAAACATAAACTGTAAAACTACAAAACTTTGAGAATAAAACAGAGGAGAAATTTTTAGGACGTAAGGCCAGATGGAGAGTTCTTAAACATGATACCAAAAGCACAACTTATAAGAGAAAATAATTGCTATATTAGACTTCACGATTAAAACATTTCACTCTGTGAAAGATGAAGTTAAAAGGATGAAAAATTAATCTAAAGATTGGAGGAAAATAGTTGCAAATCATAATATCTAACATAAGATTGTAGTTAGAATATATAAAGAAATCTCAAACTCAGTATTTTTTTTTATAAAAAGCAATTCGATTAGAAAATGTGCAAATAATATGAACAAGAACTTCACCAAAAAGGAAATATAGATGAGAAGTAAGCACATAAAGACATAATTATCATAATTAGCTGTTAAGGAAATGAAAATTACACACTGACTACCACGTAAGTTGTATTGAACTCAGGCTAGTTTTGAGCCCGGGGCCAGGTGAAGCAAAGCCCTGCAGCTGGTTCCTGAAAATTCTACTTGTTAATGTTCTTATTGTTACAATTACTATTGACAATTTAATTTTAAAAACATGGATTGCATTGCATATAACTCGTGCACAGAAACAATAAAAAATAACAAATTAGAAAGGATCATTTTGTTTTAATAAAACACTATGGCCTCAGGGAAAAAAATTTTTTTTCTAGTGTGGCAATGTGTTAAACCACAACGAGGTATCATTAAACACCTATTACAGTAGCTAAAAAAATTAAAAAGCTGATAGGTTAATAGTTAATTGTTGAAGCTGGAACAATTTAAGCCACAGAATAAGTAACATAGTTTTGGATTATAATGCAAAGAGTAAAATAAATATATTTGACTCTCTACTGATATGCTGATATAAATAAATTATTTTAAAAAATAAATAAATGAGAGAAAGAATAGATAAATCTTCCTTATAAAACAAATTCCAAATATCACATGTAGGTACTTCCCCTTTCAAAAGGTGACTCTTACAGACTCATTTCCGAAGAACACAGTGTAAAAAAGGAAAAATATTAACTTTTAACTTTACGGTGAAGTAACTTTGAAATCACTTCCTTGGACAGGTGATCAAGGTGAACAACGCCAGTAATGCCTTCTGGAAACCATGTGCCTCCTGATATGTGACGATAAGGGCCCTTTATCTCTGTGATACCATTTTCAAAACCCATAGCTCCATTCTAATCATGAGAAAAACATCAGACAAACTCAAACCTGGAACATTCTACAAAATACTTGGTCTACACTTCTTAAAACTATTAAGCTCACGAAAGACAAGGAAAGACAAATTGTCACTGGAGGAAACTAAGGGGCCATGACAACTAAATGCAATGCAAAATACTGGACGAGATCCTGGAACAAAGAAAGGACATTAACAGAAAATAAAATAAAACCTGCTGAAATCCGAATATGATTTGGAGTTTACTTAATAGTAATTTTCCAATGTTGGTTTCTTAGTTTGGACAGATGTACCACATTACTGTAAGATGATAACATAATGGGAAAATGAAACTGAGTGAGGAATGTAAGGGAACTCATTGTAATATCTTTGAAACTTTTCTGTAAATCTAAAATTATTCCAAAATAAGAGGTATATTTAAAAACATTACTTTATGATTTATGCAAAAATATAAAGTTCTCCCAAATAAATATAATAAAATGTGTAAAATTTAAAACTTTATTGAAAGATAATAAAGAGACCCAAATGAATGGAAAAATATAAGAAGTTCATTCATTAGAAGAAACACTATTATGGAGATGTCAAGTCTCCTTGAATTGCAATAGTGACAGCAAAAAATGTCTTCAGACTCCCAATTTGTTGACATTTGAGTAATAAAATTTTTAGAAAGAAGGGAAGAGAATTTAATTTAAATGCAAATGATTAATTGTAAAAGACTTTCAATGAAAGCTTTAATTTACCAGTCACCATAATTATTAATTAAATGTCACCATTTAAGTTATCTATTCATTTCATGTGCAAGACGAATGTATGTTTATTTTATGCACTGAATGCTTAATATACCAGGTGGTTTGCAGAAACACTCTTCAAGAGTGAACAAAGGTATGCTAATTGG